TCCCAGCATAGCATAATAGGTACGTGGCTAAAAGTTATTATTTTGTATTATTTTTTATGCACAGATTAAGTAAATAATTAAGATAAAAAACAATAATTTAAATATTAAGAATATTTAATATTAATTAACGAAATAATCTAGCTATTTTTAATTTAATCTGAGGCGCTGTCTAAAATTGGTGCCTACCTATATAGGTGGCAAAATCAAAACATTTTTTTGCGAATAATATCGGTGAAAAAATTATAATACTTCTACTGCACTGTTCACACCAACATTTTAATATTTAGCAATGTGCCACGTTTTCATCACGCTCTAACATAACACGGTATTAACGATCTGTTGAAAAATTTAAAAAATCGTAACAATTTTACGATTATATTGTCGTAAAGAAAAGAAAAAAAAAACAATGATCAATAAGAAAGATAGCGACCGACTTTATAATCGTGTATTTCAAACGTTTTAATAATTACCTACTATGTTTTTTTTCGCTAAATATTTGCAATTCTATTATGTACATTTTCGTAATACATTTTAATGTTATATATAATTATAAACAACTTACAAAAAACCCCTCTCGAATTTTTCCATCGAAAAATATATATTATAATAGTCGTTCAAAAGTGCATTAATTTCATTAATCTAATATAATATAATTAAACAACAACTGTGTCTGTATAATTAAAATGTATACTTAGTAGGTATACATAATATTATACTTACGTTGATATTAAGTAAGTTTTTTTTTTTTAAAAACATTATACTGTACAAGCAGTGTTGAGAAAAACAACCGATATATCTGGATAAAAGATAAAAATTATAAAAATAATATAGATATTCAGATAAAAAAAATATTTATTTCAAGTGGCTGGGTAATTTAGATTTACAGCATTATTTTTAAAAAAGAAGTTAGTATTAAATATGAAGGCAGGGTGTACCTAACACGTAAAAAAAAGAAGCAAGAATGCAATGCTAAAAAAAATATAAAAAGCATATTGTTAGAAAAAAGAATTGGAAATGTTGAAAAATTATTCAAATAAAGTTCCATCCGGAAAAAACCACATATTTTTTAATATGATATAAAAAAAAAATCTGAGCTTTTTAATATAGCCATAAAAGTGTTTTCTGGGAATTATGTAAACAAAACTTGTAAAACTAATATCTATAGCTTTTTCAACATGCTCAGAATCTAAAATAGTATACTTAGTTTACTATGGTAATATTGTCTAATAACTTTTTGAATATGAAAAATCAATTTGTGTAGTACAAAATATAAAATTATGTCATATTTTATTTTATGAATTACCAAGGTTACAATGTGACAAAAAAAAAAACCACAAAGAATTATGATCAGATTATATTTTAATATACTTGGTATTTATAATATTATCTACATACTGACTAAAAATAATTAAGAAGATAAATGAAAAGATAAGATATTGTTGTGTTATCTAGATACTAAATAAAAGATAAAATACATTCCTTGCTGTGCTCAGAATATAATACAATATGCGGATATCTACTATCTAGGTTATCTTTAAGACGATTTTATCTACATATAATCCCAACATGACAATACAATAGTTACTATAATATTATTGTAGTTGTTAAACTGAAATTGCAATTAGAATTAAATATTATAAAAAAATAATAATAAACAATCAAAAAAGTGATAAAAAGAAAATAATACATTACTTGGACCGAATATAATTAGTTATAATAAAATTTAACAAAATTACGAGTTATACTATTATAATACTCTTCAATAGGAACTATAATACGATTTGTATTATACTATACAATTATTAATATAACAACGGTTTATTTTTTATTTTTTATGTTTTCGTCGTATTATTATTCTGTACTGTATTTTATCCGCTCCCAGAAGATTATTTTTAGCGAGCATAGAAGAGCTGATAACATAATATTATTTTATGTCACTATAATATTATTATATTATCGTATAACAATAATTATTATTATTTAAATATTTCGTAACATCGGTCGCTATCGGTTTGTTCGTCATAATCCTTAATAATAAAATATCAAAAACCGCATGTTAATATTATAATTTTATTGTCGTATAATAATAATTCTTAGGACGCTGGAAGGAAGGTCCACCTTCCCGTCTATGTTATATTATTATCAAATCGAACTTATTGTCGTATAATAATATATTGTGGTGAACCTACAGTGAGTTTAACCGAGTAATCCGAGTAAAAATTAAAGCGTTATAAAATATTATATTTTCATTTTTAGCTAATTTTTTTTATACATACATCAGCTGAAAATAAGAATTATAATCGTAAACGTGTTGTCCATATACAGTATCAGAAGAAAAAAAAATCACAAATCCCAGTAAAACCACTCCTTTCGCTCGAAATCAAAGAATATAGATGTTAATAGATATAGAATTAAATAAAAATACGAAATTATAATCAGTGTATTGATATAATATATACGTATGGGTGCAGTCTGTGTATACCTATATCCTATATAATGGTATTAGTTATTATTTTTTATAGGTATACGTAGTTAACCCAATCAAAATATGTATACAAACAGTTAATATATAATGTATGTATTTTATCGACCGGTAGTTCGGAATAGGAGACACAACGAACGAAAGTATACGGAACTATTACGACCACCGTGTATTTTATGAAACTGTATGTGTTACGTCGGGGTATTTTTTTTATTGAATTTATCTACGATAAAAATAACAAAAAAAAAAAATAATAAATATTAACAATATCGATTTGTACGTAAAGTTTCCGACAATAATTAAATAGAATACGATATTTTTCGAACAAATTGAATAGGTACTGAATGAAAAAAAAAAAAACACACACATATCACAATGTATATTTAGGAACCGTTTCGACGTTTTATTGGACGTTAACACTGCACTATAACAATATTATGCATATAACGTGGAAAAAAATAATATTATATAGAACTATTCCGATTCATCAAACGCGCGATGACACCATACACCGTCGACGTCGTATTATTTATTCGTAATATTATAATAGTGACGCTACGGTGAATAACAAGCCGGACAAAGAGCAGCGAAAACGATAGAATTTCAGATATTGACGGACGGGAGGTTTAAAAAAAAATAAAAATAAATTTAGACGAAACTATATCGCTGTAATAATATAATAATATAGTCGTCAAAAGAATCGTTGTTGGTTAATCACGCGATTATCTGTATTGTGTGCCGTTTAAAATGTATATTATATTATTTTTTAAACAATTAATTTATAATGCATTATTCCATTATAATACTATATCATACAAGAGAGAAAAACAAAAGTAATAACATCGCATCGCATATAATATTATTTTCACGATAATGTTCTTTATCTTTTCACTTCTATAATTTTAAAATTAATTATTTATGATCTAATAAATGTATATTGCATTTAAGTAATGCATTTAAACCAATTATAAGTAGATAACCAACAAAGTGATGTACATGTTTAATAACATTTTTTTTCTTTTTTATTATTATTGTTTAACCTTCGCGTTTGTTCCAGTGTTCATTCAAATACCTACAGCTGTAGAGTTTACCAACAGTGTGTTGCGTAAGTAGGTATAACTATATTTGGGTCAGTGGCGTAGCCAGGAAAAAAATCTAGGGGAGTTTTAATTTCGCTTAAAAAAAAAACAGTGAATTCCCCACGAGACGATGTTAATAAGACGATTGAAAAATCGTATACCTACCTATGTTATTAGGCACGTTTCAAACTGAAGCGTTTAATTGTATCGAAAAAAATATATATAATAATGATAGCAACGCACTTTAGAAACATTAAAAATAAAAAAAAAAAAACAGTTGTCGGGGGGAGGTGGGTGGAGCCAGCACCGAATCGGCCCCCTGGCTTCGCCGCCGATTTAAGGTGATCGCTCGGTGTATTATATATTATTATTATTACAATTCGAATCGGTAAGCGGTTTATACGTTAAAATATTATTATTATTTTAATATTTACTATTTAAAATCCAACAGTAAATATTATAATTTGTTCGTTATTCGAATGTTCCGGCTTTCCGAGTGGTAGATAAACACAATAATAAAAAAAATATTGTTATATATACTTAAACGTACATACGTGTGCGCGTATACACATTGCACACGCTGCACTTGACCCGGTAATGGTTATGTCAACACACGATATTTACCATAATATTATTATATTGTTAAAAGCGGCGGCGGCGTTGAAATATTATAATTTCTAATACGGTCAAAGTCATCATCATCACCGTCGGTCTGTGTGTGTGTGTGTGTGTGTGTGTGTGTGTGTTTGTATACAAATTAAAAAAAAATAATAATAATAACAATAAATAAAAATATACATCGCGCACCTATACATATTGTATTGTATACTACTCTACCTGTGTATTTTATAACGTCCGTGTACAAACATTGTGATTTTTTTTTTCTAATCGCGCAATTATTTGTATTGCTTGTACGGCCGAAAAAATAAAAAAATATCCGATTTGAATACGCGAGTGGCGAACTACCGCGGTGTCCGACCCGACTGCTACGGCGCGGAGCAACAACAATAGAATTAAATTCGTGAAATATGTACGCGAGTTTGGTAAATAACAATAATAGCGGTAGGCACCCGGTATAGTTGCGGCAGGTAGACAGAGGTATACGTATATTATACGAACAAAATATGCATAGATAAAATTATTATTATTATTTTTTTTTTTTTTTTTTTTGGTATACGTCCAACACTATAATAATATCGTTGTTATAGTACAACCAGAAGACGCGCTGCGAAAACCCATTATTATACAAATTCGTACACTTTATATGCGCTCGATATAAATACGTACAATTATACATACACGCCATGCGTATGAATACAGACATAGACGTTACAAACAATATTAACAAAATGGCGTTATCATTGACAATATTTTCGCAATGAAAAATAATATTATTATTCCGTTCGCCGCCGCCGCCGCCACGAGCGTTACGGGGGAGAATATCTGGAAGAATTAAACACGAACACGTCGGCCAGTAAAAATAAATCGTTCGATAAAAAAAAAAAATCACTCTATATTATAATATCTTTTGAACCGAGATACAATACAATGCAATACCGCGGCATGTGTAATAATGATTGTCGTTCAAATGTTGCACAATTTTAGATATTCGTAATCGCAAACTATTTTGACAATATATTATACGTTATAGTATTATTACGTTGTGGTATTACGCTGTTGGCCAATTATTATTCTTAAAATCTTATCGGGGTTTATTGGAGGAGCTTACTTGTATTATTATTATAATTATTATTATTATTATTATTATTATTATTATTATTATTATTATTATTGTGCGGCGTGTATTGATCCGATTTTCGATTGGCTTCCATTTGCGTACGTACCTGCGATATTATTATATCACTCGATGTATTTCGACGTTTATTGTGGTGTATTAAAAACGGCAATGGTTTTCGCGGAAAAAAAAAAATTAAAAAAAATACTCGTTACGGGTTAAACGAAAAAACCCGAACGCGTTATAGATTATATTAACGAGTTGTTATATTAATCTTTTTTCTTTGCTTTTTTTTTTTTCTATTATTTGTTAACGTTAAATCGCGCGATTCGTAATTGAGCCGCACGACTCGTGTGCTATTATAGACGAATGTTCGTCGACCGTCATTACTTCGCGAATAGCGCGGGAGGGAGCTGGCGGGGTATTTAATCGTAAAGCACACGACGATTATTTTTACTCGCCGAGTCACTCGCGGTTTCCCGTCGTTATCGCATGCGACGCGAGTGAATCGTGCTGATAAGAAATATTTTCACTCGGGACAGTATGTTTTATGAGGCCGGGCGACGACACGGCCGAATTTCCCGACGGAGACGGTTGCGTCGTCGGCCGGCGTCAGAAACTAATATGTCGCCCCCCCCCCTCCCCCAGAAAAATCATATTGTCATTTATTTTTAGTTGTAACGTATGGTTTTTTCAACGACACAATGACAAGAAGTACCGTGGACGAACATAGGTTGGATGGACTGTGCAGTGTGTACGCTCGGTGTCCATAGACACAAAATCACGACGCCGAAATAGTTGAAAAATTGACGTGGCAAAAACGCAATTTACAGTTTTCGTTTTAAAATATTGCTCTTGTTCGCGTATAAAAATTTGCTTGTTCCGTAATTATTGAATAAAAGCAATTTTGTTGATTCCTAATGTTTAAGTTTTTCCATTTTACGAGGCGTCCTTGGCCATAATTATTACAGTGACCGAACAGGCTTTGCGGGTGGGGGAGGAGGAAACGAAACGGTTACAAAAAGTCGCCCCCTCCCTAATGTTACTCCGTCGAAAAACTGTACGATTCTCATCGACGAGCATACTGCGCGCGTCACATAATATCGTAATGAGTGTGGCGAGTGATTGTACGCCGAGTGCTGCGCGGGTCGTGTGGTACCAAATTAATTAATACGGACATAACATCGATCCGTCGGATTTGAATAAAACAACAAACTGTTGAATTTGCGCGCGACCCGCGATATTAAAATTTAAAATTTTCAAGATAACGTTAAAAATGTTCGTTATAAATATATACATATATATATATATATATATATGCATTTTTTCCCCGGCTGTTCCGAGTGGCAAAAGATAAAATAAATTCTTATCTTGATGGACCACTTGAAAATCATTATTAGTATACATTTATCTCGAGTCGCGATTACACGCAGTATATAATATATCATTATGATTAATATTATTCTTCATCAACATTATTCAAAATTAAGGTCATGAATAATTTTGAATGAATATTGTTGGATACCATAACATTTTACCTTTTAAAATGGTTTTTTTAATTTTCTATCCAAGAAAGTTTTAAAAATAATTTCTCGATATATTATGTGATATATCGTCTCCGAACAATATTTCAAACCGATTTTACCTATTATTTTCAAATTATGTAATATTGGATAAGATCGAATTGCATTTGTATTAAGAAAAAACAAAGAAAAGGTCAAACTGCACTCGGGTCAACATAGGCGTGTCAACTAAAATGTTCGGAAAAATAAGTTTAATTTTAAAATGTTCAGTACACCTGCAGAATTAATACGCATTAATTAAATAGTAACTACATAAGCTGAGTGCGAAAAAAATATATATATCATGAACTATAATGAATTTATTATAAAATTTACTTTAAAACCTTAAAATTGCCTACTTACACTTGAAATTCACTACTGATATTGCCTTATCTTATAAAATCGTGACAAATCAAACGTTGTACTTATACATACTTACTCGTATAGGTATACAGCCTGTGTAAAATATTTTAAAACTAAACTTATATATAAAATAGATATAGAAGTATGACATAATATTATAGCCTGTGTAAATTTAAAAAATACTAGTTCACCCGTTTATTAAATAATAATTATTATTCATCCAAGTAGTGGACCCGTGCAGAGGAAAAAACTATAGAGTTAAACATCATCTTTTAACTTTTTAAACGAATAATAAACTATGTTTCTATAAATAAATTCGAATCATTCTTTAAATTCTATAAACTCGGTCCATAAATTAATAACTTAGTCAAAAGAGGGGATCTTAATCTTTAAAATGGTACCTCAAGTGTTGATTTTGATTGTATTCAAATGGAGGAAATGGGATCGTCAAAAAACTCACATTTTAGAAATAATTTATAAAATAAAATCGACTTAGATAGATGAGGAAAAAATAACGTAAAATGGACTAATAAAAAAAAAAATGCCCTTTAAAGGTAAACAAATGATTTAACAAATTTAAAACGTCAAAAAATACTAAATAAAAATTTCGCAATTATTGAATTTGTCGTTACATGATTCAAACTTTGCAGTGTTATGAAAGCTACGTTCTACAATCAACTAAAAATATGGACTTTCCTATAAATTCACAGCCCTAATCATCGACACCGAACAACAGAACACAACATCCGATTTTACCGAAATTTCTTAACAATTTCACGCATGGTACTATGAACAAATTATAACAAATATCGATGAACATTTTTAACTGGATAACAATTTCCGTAGGCAACATTATAATATCTCTAAGCCCGTGAGTCACGAGAAGGGAAAAGTGTGTTTTCAAACTTTTTTTGACCCAAGTGCAGTTCTTATATTCAATTTAGGTAAAAAAGTGCAATTCGACCATCCCGGATATATTATACAACTATGTGTAAGTACTATATAATTTTTTGAACCCATAGGATACGTTTATATATTATACTGCAATTGCGGTAGGTAAACTAAATCGAAACAAAGTTTGTTGGTTCTTTATAATCTGTGTTACGTATACTATACGCCGTATAGTATTATATCTAGGTATAAACTTTATTTCAGTAACAAAATGTATATAATATAATATTAGGTCAGAAATACTACAGAGTATACAGGTACCATTTAACATCATATAAATTATATGCGGTATAGGTATTTACGAGACGATTGGAAACGACAACGAAAAATGTATACGTATTTATACGTATAAACGTGTATATTATTAGATACGCGTGTATAGTTGGGTGCCTTAATTATTATTTCGAGTATTTTGGTGGAGATACGACCGACGGGGAAGGAGGAGAGAGTTATATGATAAATCGATATTAATAAAAAAAAAAAAAAGTTTGATGCAGGTATATACACGTATATAATATATAATATATATATATATAAAGGTTTCGTATAAACAAGGAACGCCTAATGGTCACGTTGTGTCTTACTCGCCTTCGTCCATCCGTGACCCTAGAAAATAAAAAGATAAGAGAATTTTTTTTTTCACCGACTCTTTATCCGTGAGAATCGATGACGTAATTATACAAATATTTGAATACGTATACACACAATCGTGTTGTTACCTGTTGTCGTTTTTTTTTTTCCTCTCCCTCTCATCGTTGGTCTATAGCTAGTGTACATTATATATATATATATATATACTAATATGATAGATACAGATAGATACAAGTATGTATCTAAGTGTATAAGACATGTCGGCGCAATAAAAAACGCCGGAGGTCAAAATCACACTAATGGTACTAACTCACGTATTCGTTTTTAATAAAAGTGACACTGTCTTTTTCGTTATTTATATCGACGAAATACCGTGTTACGGACGTTACAATACAATATATCACAATCAAAATAAAATATTAATTTCGTACATCACAAACGCCCAATAAAATATTTAATATAGGTGCATACGACGGAACGAATTACCTGTATTTCCACTAAACAAACATAGTTATAAAAATGTTTCGTATAAAACCTAATTACAAAACAATTAGGCCTAATATTGCGGTCACACGATGATATAGTTAAACGTGATGGTTGTTAATAATAATACCATGGTTATTGGTATCATGACAGTTGTACTATATTATACCGTCACCATTTAAACAAATATGAGAGTAACTACCACGCACTATACTGGAATAAATACTATAAAATCGGACCTGTATGGAACTTTTAGTTTTATCGCGTTAATGTTAGTGATTATAACAAGTACTATCGTAATACGGACACAACTATCGTTAATATTTTTTACGATCACCATAACGGAAAATGAGTGCCAAATCGTTTGATTATAAAATGTTAAATCTATTTAAATTGAGTGCGTGTTATATTTACTCCAATAATGGTACTTGAATGGACTTGTTCGGATAACATTTTCTAATAATACTATACTATTGACGTAATATTATCACTATCGCGCATGCTATCACACATAGAATCAATATCGTGTGAACACAATATAATGATAATAAATTATTTAGATAGCTGGACTTACTTTCGCGATAGCGGCTATCACGTTAACAATCATCATACGACCGCAGCTTTATGATGAAATGTATCAAGAAAAAATAGAAAACAATTTCGGAGTGCTTTATTTCTTAAGAAAATAAAACGTTCATTTACCGTCTGTGCCTGCCAATCTAACAGGTAATATAGCAAAAAAGTGTTTTTGTATTTTCGACAATAGCAGTACATAGACCTCGTTTGATCGTATAAACTTGATTTCGACGCCAAGATAAACACACCAGAAGATTAACTGTGTAAAGGTGATCTTTTTTTTTTAATTTTCAACAGTCGATTTCGTATGATATTTTTTTATATATTACTAAAATAGGAAATTTTAAAAAGTAAACAAAATAGGTTTGAAAAAAATGTTCAACAAAACTCTAGACATATTATTAGGTAGTACAACTATTTATTTTGACATCCATAAATCAATAGTTTATACGAACACGAGTCCTAAGTAATATGTGGGAAGTATACAAACACATTTTTACTATGTTTTCAGATTGACAGAGACGGAAATACACGCTCGGCGTTCTCTTAGCTCGGTTCCTACACAATGCGTCCAACTTCAAATAGACTGGATTGATGGCCATTTATGCTACCAGCATTTTATATAAATGTATAAATCACAAACATAAGTTTTTGAATATTCGACCAATCACCATCAGCAAGATCTAATAACTATGGATATTTGATAGCCCGAACAATAATTTAACGTTTGACGCGTATACGTTAAATATTTGAACTACGCTTGAACCGGGCTTTGCATTGTGATATAATAGTATACTATAATATGTACAGAAAGAACTTAATTTCTTAATCACTAGGTGCATGCATACCAATATTAAAAAAAAAACGGTTACTAAAAATCCAACACAAATAAAATTCTAATGGAAAGTTGTTAGTTTTTTTTTTTTTTTTTGTTTTGCGATAGGTTCTATTTGGAATTATAATGTATGATACGCATTGATTATATACGTCGGCAAAGGTCTTTATACCCGTACCTCTAGTTTCTAAGAATTCTTGATTACGATGATTGTTCATTATAATAATTTTGTATAATTGTTATCTAATTATAAATCACTTGATCTCTGACAGCGTATATAACTTTTATTTCGTTATCAAACGTATTAAATGAAAATATTATAGTTCTACTTTTTCACGTTGTATTCGTAACGACCATCGCATATAATATACGAGAACAAAACACTCAGTAGGTATAAATTATACACATTTATATACATTATTATCTACGCACAGATAATTTAAGAGACACTTATTCATACATAACGACGATGTTTTTATTTTATTTTTATAATTCGTTTTACCGATTTCTTATCACAGTTCGAACGATTACAGTATAAATTATTTTTTTTTATTCTCCGTCCTATATGGATAATACGATATAGGATGTATCGAATTAAACATAACGAGGCTATATTATATTAATAAAAATAGAAAATAATCACGAGTTTTAAAGTTGATTAAGAAAATTTCGATCGACATGATGATTTTTAATTAGGCATATTTTACTAACGAAGAAACAGATTTCATAGAAATATATGTTTATCTGCATAATTTAATTCGATCGATTAAATTCAGATATATACGGGAAAAGAGAAAAATTAATTAGTATATTAAGAAAAAAAAAAAAACATGCTTAATATAGAACAGGAACTCACGCACGATTTAACACGATAAACTAGAAACCTTTATCTTCCTCTGCGTATTAAGAAATATAGAAAAATATATTTTAATGTTACTCTATATTCCGATATTTCCGATATATCGCGGCCCGCGGGTATAGGTACAAAATAACGCAAATTGTAATAATTTTATCATAATAAATATAATATTATATGACGAACGTTTATTATCGTAGCACTTGAATCCTATAAAGATTAAAGTTTATAATATGCATCTATTATATATACGTTTACACCTACAAAGTACAAAAAAAATATCAAAGTTTAATTAGGTTAATCACTACTATATTTTAATAGCTCAAAAACCGCGAATGGTTTTTAGTACGATATTATATAGGTATACAAATATACCAATAATATCAGCTCATCGTACAATGTATTATATGGATATAATATTTTACGCGCGCATTATATTATACAATATTCATTTTGTTCAATATAATATTTAATCTACACTCGATACGAATAAAATTGATTAAACAAATAATTAGAAAGAAAAAAAAAACCTCAAGGATTAGCACAAGTTTAGTACACAAACGAATACTGTATAACAAAATGCTGTCATTAATTTATTTTATCTAGGTTTTTTTACTTTACATCGTTATTATCATCATAATATTGTTATTAATTATTAAATTGTAAAATATTCAACATCGAGATTAATTAATCGGCTAGGTTATAGTAAAATGAAAAATAAATTATTATCGCCGTAAATGCCTACATAGTATTAGAATATATACGTATATTATATCATCTAATTGACTTTTCTATACATATAAAAAAAAAAAAAAACCCCTTTTGAAAGCATTTGCGCGCCTCTTTATTTTATTATATTATTGAAGAATTATTTTACCAAAACTATAGTAATTAAACCATATTTTATTATTTGCTACTATACATGATATTTGCTTCATTAAAACAGATTGAGTTGGATCCCGATAACGTCGTTAAATCTATAAGGCGCCTAATTATTACTGTAACTATTAAGAAATATAACGATTACAAGATTATAAATAATAATAATAATATAATATAGAATATGTAACATCTTAACAACGCATATTATTAAAAATAAATATAAAATATAATTACTGCGACTGTGCTGTATGTAAAAATTATTAAAACGTTATACACATCCTCTCGTATGCATTATAATATCATCTCGCATAATATAATAAAATATTATATTATGTTGAACAAATAAAAAATCTAAAACATTAAAATACTATTATTATTTTTTTTTTAATTTCACATTTCATAGGTGCTTACGATAATTAAAAAAATATTTAAATGCCCTTCATATATCGACTAATGGCGTATAATTAAAACGAAAAGGACGTACCTATATTTCGAGTCACGGGTATAGGCAACTGCAGTATAGTACGGAAAAGGTTTGAAATGTATAATAGGATATATGTGTATATAGGGTAATTTAATTTATATACTGAAAGCGATGATAAATCGTTGCGATGAAAAACAACCATTTTGAGTAGAGTATAATATTCTTCTTCTGCTGGCGTTTGATAGTTACTCTTGAAGAATTTTCACGCCACCACCACGATATCTATGCGATTCTCTCTGTTCTGAACTACCGTCCTCCATTCTTGTACTCCTACTTTTCTGAGATCTTATTTCACTGCATCCATCCATTACTTTCTAGGTCGCCCACGAGATCTCTTTCGCACATAGGTTTCCATTCCAGTACCTAACCTAGCCGTGTCTCCCTTACTCCTGCGCAATTCTCATTCTTTTTCCGAAGTTCTCGTTTAAACTACTTTATCCAGGTCTATATTTATTTAGTTTGTTCTTTTGTACAAGATGACTCCAGAATCAATAAAAATAAAACCTGTACAACGACATTTTTCGTCAGTTAGGTGTTTAAGATTTTATGAAAAAAACTACATGGAAATTTGTATCGAATTTTCAATACCGTCAAGTAAAAAATTCGCATATTCTAACGTATACGGTGTATAGAAAAATCAGAACAATTTGAAAAAGTATTTTCCGGGGTAAGAGGAAGGAAACATGAAAGAATCAATAGCTCCAAAAAAAAAAAAAAAAAAAACGAAAGAAATTCTTCTTCCGAGTAAAAATGAAGAATTGTATTTAATTTTATCGAAATCAAACGCTGTTAAGGCCACGGCATTATTAAATCAGGATTCAGGACGTATCTACTTTCGAGTTTTATATATATATATATAGCCTTCAACACTTTGTCACGTTTAAGTCACATTACAAATCGTCGTCCGTTAGAAAAAAAAAACAAAACAAAATAAACAATACAGGTGATACACGAAATATATTAATATTAAAACGCGATTTTTCGTTATTTCGCGGTCTAACGCGCCGGGACGGACGGTAATAACAATAACAATAATAACATTAATAATAATATAAGATAATAGTATTATGTCCGTGTACGGTGTATATAGATTGTAATTAAAAGAGGGTGATTGCTCGTGTACGGAAAGATAACGGGAAAAAAAAAAAAAAAAAAAAAAAAAGTTATAGAACCCAGCGAGATGACTATCGTCGCGCGTTGTGTGCAGTGTTATAGTAACGTTGAGCCGAGATTTAGAGATGAAAACGCGGGCCCGGGTAGATTTATCCAATAACGTTATCAGCTTGGATAATATTGTGAATGCTGCACCAGGTCCCCATCGGTTCCCGGCCGACTAATCTGAACGACTCATCTGGGGAGTCCAACCGAGATGATAGAGCACGAACTATCAAACATCATCAAGGGCAAACCTATATTATAACCAGACTACGACCCGAGTATATAATAATAATAATAATAACAATATCGGCTCTATAGGTACATGTAACGTAGGTATAGGTATGTACCGGAGATAGGTCACGGGACCCGCGATGTGTGACAAACATTCCTTTATTTTATTTTATTTTTTTTTTTTTTGGTTTCCGTTTGTAACAAATACCAATCACACGCGGTACCAATACGTATGCGCGCGATAACATAATTACCGAGTTGCATCGATACCGTCGTGAAATCTCCGGTAAAATCCGTTTGTCCGCCGAACCGAACAATTACTACTGTATCTACAGGGCCGGGAGTGTACTATTATATTGCCCCGATCGAACGTTTTCCGAAAAATGCGAAATGAAAGTGGTTCATTCCCGGTCAAAGAACCACAAAAAAATGTTACGGATTTGTAACAAAACGAATCTATATTGTCCCGCATTAGGCAATAAAATACCGGTAGTTTGGTCTATATGAATTTCAAAATACAATAAGTTGGAATTTAACATCCGAAAAACCTAAAACGCTCTAAAAAAAAAAATTCTATTCTCCGTCAAAGTACGCGAAACGAATTTGTAACAAAACGCAATAAGCGTTAGAAAACCGTTCAAAGTTCATTGAGATCCCGGCCATAACCATTATACGTATAAATAATAAATAAGCCGGAAAAATGTGTATTACGATTTCAAATTTCAGATTAACTGCAGTTTGATACGCGAAATGTACAGTCTGCAGTATCTATGATAATAAGTTTGTAAGAAAAAAAAAAAAAAAACACAGGATAATTTTATTTATTATCATTGCGGTACGCCGTTGCTGATTGACATTTATTTCAGAAACACAAAAACAGAATAGAAAATCGTTTCTATAATAACATTAAAACGAATAATAATATTTAAGAATGCGTATCGGAAGCAAAAGATAAGAAGACTCCGTAAACGGTATAACGGATTTAAATTGTTTATTTTTATTTTCAGATCCATTCGTTAAATATTGTTATAAATAATAATAATAATAATATGACACACGGCGATATCAGATAATAGTATTTCGCGTATAAATGTATATTTTTAAATTACAATTTATACCACACATAATATTACTATAAATAAGTAGTGTAAGTTGAATTCGTAATTTTTTTGTTCGTAGATGAAAATCAGAGACCGCTTCGATCTGTATATAATCAGACAGATACGACCGCCTCGCAGACACGGGCTTAAACTCGCACGTTACAAAATATAAACACGCGTCTAATTTGAATTTAATCTGTTTAAACGATCGTTTCGCAAGCACATAATCGTTTCAGAACGCAAGAACTCTAAAATAAAATAGGTACACCTACCTACCTACCTACCTGCCCACGTTTTTATATTTACGAATGATTAAAAACATCGAAATCATCTCGAAGTTCCTCCCGCACAATAAACGAGCGCTACTCGTATTCCAACCGGTGGCAGGTACGGGGGGAGACGACAGCCTCCCCCCCCCCCCCCCTATCGCTCCGGTTAACTCTACAGTATACTCTTGGCTCTGAGCGCGTTGTTATAAACGCGTGTCTTGTACGAATTTTCCGGATCGCCTTCCCCGTTTTATCTATTGGCCCGGATCCGCCACCCTGCATACCAAACAACACCAGGACCGGACGGGCAGTAAACGCCGACAAACGTCGCCATTAGATTTTATATTATAAAGAATCTGTCACCGCCGCTTTCTAGCGGTGGATTGGGATAATCATGATATCGGGAATGTAGACATTATTAAATATGACCTCTCACCAGCCACCATCGCTGCTGGAGAGCCCCGGTGGTTAAGGAGGAACACGTAAATACGGGGGGGGGGAGGCGAGTAAATAAAATGTCCGTGAAACATTTTTGTATTAAGCATACAAATTTACTTAAAATAAATAACTATGTATATGACGGGGACCCATTTACAAGTTCTTAAGGTTCGACCCGCTGAACCATTAATCCGACGTTGATCGTTGATACAAGAACCACAAGTGTAGCCAAAGGGGTTTTGTGTGTTATAACTTTATATTGCTGTTTTTTTTTTTTAAGCTTTAGGTAAGGCTAAGAAGGTTGTAGACGCTTGAACCGTCCTACAACCTCTTAAACGCCCCTTCCCCGTTTGAAAAATCCTGACTGTGCCACAGGAATAGAAAAATACCGTAATATGCCTATAAATATATCGAGATTTTATAGAAAATTAAATATTAAACAGTAACGACTGATACATTGTAAATTTGAGTTTATAGAACGCCTTCGTACAATGTTTGGACCGAGCCCCCATGTTTATTGATAGTGCAGTGCACCTTTTTGAAGTGCGTTCAAGCCACCTTTGTCGTTTTTCTGTATATAGAAAAATTTAGACGAAATAATATTCTAGTATTTTATTAGATATATAGACTATACATTAGTGATCATCTACAGTGTCAATAAATATACCCAATAAACCTAATAATATTTATCGCGGATTTTACAACGTCATTTTTATACGGAGAACTCGAGAGACGGATAATCGCTAATTTAAGATTTGAAAAACGCCACGATACCAAAGTCAGCGATTATCGTACGCAACACTCGACGTCCACGTGTTCGACAGACCACTCGATAACTCTTGATAGATATCTTATTGTATTTTTTTTTTTCTACGTATATATACTCTCCCTCTCTCTTTCTCGTTTTTATTATTATTATTATTATTATTTTTTTTTTATCAAAATCGAATCCTGTCTTACAAAGAATAATATAATAATAATATATAGTTTCTGAGACCCGGATCCCCCGGACACGCGGTGACAGAAAAGATACGCGTCGCCGTCCGCGATTCGTATCTCGGCGTTCGTTTGTAGACAATATTTCGATCGTGTACTACGATTGTCTATAATAGGTACGTACGTATAACTACTAAAATAATAAAAAAAAAATTAACGTTAGAAATATTAATTTTACGAAGGGAAACGAAACGGTACGAATAATGTTTGTTCCGTTTTCGGGGCGGTTCGGAAGCGCCGTTCCAATATTATTACGGTAATAGAGAAAACGTCCGCCGCAGACCGCGAAATCGTTTGCCGCCGGATTTTACCGATAATGTTGTCGCGATATTATCGATTAATGAAGTAGAGAGGAAAAAAAAAAAAAAAACCAAAACAAAACCGATAGTAAAACATCTCGTAAAACGTTATACGCGGGCACGCATTCCTCCGCGCTCGGAAAACGTTTTCGAATACCGCGCGCGCGCGCAATAGTTCGTCACTTTGTAAACAGAGGCATATTGTCTACACCGGGTATCGGTAATAACATTAAATATTATGGTTTTTTTGCATTATTGTTCTTACGTTTCAGCGGCTTCGGGTTCAGCTGTTTTCTTCTGGACATCGCGGCGGTGGACGTGACGGTGACGGTTCTCTTTCGACTAACCAGCAGCGGTGACAAGCATCTCATACGCGACTGCCGGTTTCGTTATCAGCAGTTGTCGTCGGCGGCGTTGATGGCAGACGCGGTCGCGGGACGACCGCGATAAACGAAACGGTTTATTATTATATTTCTTTTTTTTTTTTTTTTCCCGATAATATTTCGTACTCGGAGCGCGCGCGCCGAACACCCCGAGATAACGCGGAATAAATAATAATATTGTTACGGCCGCGGAGATGGCGCGGCGCCGTCGAATTTTGAAAACGCGATCGTTTTTTTTTTTTTCCTCGTCTATTACTATCCGGACGGAGGGGGAGGGGAGTGGTGTGGCGAGAGGGAAAGGAATAAAACGAAACGGAAATAGGTGGTGTGCTAAACGATATCGCGGCTGACACGGTGGGAAAACCCGGACGCGCGATTTCGATCCGGTTTTATCAAATACAGCCTGCGACGACTCGACGGTTCTCGGAAGAATATGTCCGGGAGGGGGCAGGGAGTTTAAATTTTATTTTTATTCACTTTCTACGGCGCGTGCGATTATAATTGGCGGGTTTTTAATTTTTTTTTTTTTTTTTCTATTTCCCCCCGGTCTCTTCGGACCGAAGTGTCGCGGGCGCGGTATTCGCGCGACTGCCGCGGAGACGGGTCGCGAAACGGCGGTGGAAGGCGGGTGCGTTTGTTATACGGACTGAAATCAACGTGTCGCGATTTTCGGCAGGAAAAACGATTGGAAAACCGCGCGCGTAACGGTCAGATATTCAAACGTAAAATTCAAACCGGGCGAGCGAGCGCGCGCGCGCGCTAAATCCACGGACGAAAAGACCGCAAGCAGACCGCACGAGTCGGACGCAGCAATGCGACTGGCGACGACGGCGGCGACCGTACAGATACAGCGGCGGCGACGGCGACGGCGACGGTGGCGGCGGCGGCCACGCCGTTATCGGCAAACGAACCCACATATTATTATTATTATTATTATTACTGTAATGTGAAATGTGTAGGTACCTATCTTATAATATGCCTACGAACGATATAAGCGTGTACGGTTTTTTTTTTTTTTCTCATTTTTTGATAATACGTCCATCGCTCGAGTCGGTAAACGGAACATAATATTATCGTCGCGCGATAAAATATACGACGTACAACCGTACAAGACGCCTCCCCCATCCCCCTCCCCCCGTCTACACGGCAGTTGTGTACGTTTTCACCGGCCGGATACCGCGGAATAATCGCCTCGAGACACTGTCAAATTTCGGTTTGTCCCGCGGATATTGTTTAGATTCTGAGCGGAACGAGCGATGTATTGCAGGTTTAACAATGATGTTTATTTGTTTTTTCGCGAACGACCTTCCCGCCGGAAATTTCGCTCCGGTTTTCAAGTGTAGCGCTTTTACCGAAAGGAAATCTGATTGGGGACGGTACTTCAGTGAAGTCATTTTTTGATTTTCCCATATGTATTTGTAACAAATGAAAAATATCTGCAGGGAAAAACCTAGGCAAATTCACGAAAGGCATTATTTTCAAATCGTAAATATTACGGCCATTCAAAACATGTATAACCGAACTCTGCTCAGAACCGCTTTTCGTTAGCAATGATTAATTGTTGCATACAGTTTATGCATTCAGTTTTCTCTCAACCACCTCAACTCCTCAATCTACAACAGTGGCCCACCCATCATGCGAAGTATTTCCGTTTGTTTTTTATCAACATATCTTCTAATAGACTATTTAGGTAAATCGTTAATTTATTAATTATTTATTAATTTGTCATTATTACTAATTAGGTATAATATAAACAATTTAATATATCGGACCATACTCCTGATTTATGAATATATTGACATATTACCTATGATTCTATCGGCAACAAACGTGTCTATCGCTTACTAGCTTATAACAATACTGCAACCACACTGTATTCTATAAACAGTTATAGAATAATATGAATTACGTACAAAAAACACAGTCCGTGGAGGGCGACGATTACTCATTCCCCCCCTTGTATCCCGTTTAAATTGCCTTGTTCCTATCCTAAAATATTTGCAACAAAGTATTACTTACTAACAAGGCATGTGACCTTTTGTCTTTGAATTTCGTTCGATGTGAAAGGTCGATCGTGCAATATTTATCTAGCTCGTGACTATATGACCAGTGGCGCCGATCTATATGTTCAGGTATTGTGGCCGCGATAGGCACCTACTTTTTGAAGTGGCGGGCAGTTATGTTTTTTAAGCAACGAGAACCAGAATTAATAACCAATATTCACGAGTCTATAACAATAATTGATATTACACATTTTTCAACGCATTAAAATTTATACCTTTAATACCACATTGTGTACAACAGTAAAGTTGAGCAATTATTTATCGTGTGACTCTTTTTAGGACGATATCGATAAACGGAATTCGGTCTCCTAGTATTCATGATAATCGTGTATTACGATTTACGACCGGTATACGCTATACTGGTTTTCAAGTTTAGGTATTCTTAAAATATAATATGCACCACAATAATGTTGTTGTAATAATAAAAAATATAAATCCCGCAACTTCAAGAGCATTGATAATAAATAATACATTTTGTAAAATAACGAACGCTTATTATTTTATTATCATATAAGAAATATTTTATCAATAAATTGTAAATTATCAATTAAGTTGTTCGGTTTTGTCCTGTGACTTATGTATATTGTTTTTATTTTAATTTAAATCTACGAAAAACTAAATTTAAAATATCAAATAATAAAAGTATAGGTTGTTTATGTGGGAAAAATAACATAACTTGAATGATACAAATTGGAATCGACATGTGTTTTCGTGTAAAAATAAAGATGCTAAATCGAAAAATACAAAAAGGTGTATAAATATTTGATACTCGCCTAATATTATATTCGGAACGATATGCCTGCACCTAAATATTCTTAGCTTAATATGATAATTACTCGGATAATATGATACGTGCACATAGTACTTATACAAAGGAGAAATCATAATTTTTGTTTTCTTATCTGACTTATTACCTACAGAAAAACCAATAATTATAAATTTTTTTTTTTAATAAAATATCAACATACATTATTAAATCTCAACATTTAGACTTGTAACTTAACTTCGCTTATAAAATCCTTAGGTTTTTTAAATTTTGAACCCAGTCTGAAGAACAAAACTGATTACCTGTTCAATTAATATTTCATTATTGGAATTTTATAATTTATGACAAGAGGTTTTCATAATATTTGTGAAAAACCGGGAAAAACGTAGAAAAGATGAGACAGTATTTACGAAAATAATGCTTTTATTATTTTCAGTTTTGTTGTCATTTAATGAAAAATATTCATGGACTTAACATATTGACAGAAATCTTATATTTGTCTTTTATAGACGTGGTAAAATATTCAAAACATTTGAGCCATTTTTAAGTAAA